CCATCTTTAGCATCTTCTGGGAAAGGCAGGATATAAATACATTAAAAAATGGTATTTCTGGATCTGTCCAGCTAGCTTAATATTCTGATTTCAAATGTAGCCAGTTTTGTGTCTTGGAGAAGGTCGTGAGATGGAGGAAGGAGCCTTCACCTGCCGCTTGTGTGTGCTATGCTGTATCTGAAGGAGGGGTGCAGCACCCCAAACCCGGGGCCAAAACCTGCTCTCTGGGGTCCCCGAGAAGGCTACGCCCCTTCCCTTTCCCCAGACACAGTTTGTGGAGTGATTTCCCCACTCAAAAAGGTTGAAAAACCCTTCTGGGGCTTAGCTGCAGGCAAGAAGAGTGTGCAGCTAAAACCCGCTGGGATTTCTGACATTTTGACCCCTTATGCCATCGGTCCAGCCTATCGCCAGAATTCCAGGCCTGGGCATTTCCCCAAAATGGAATTCTACACCCTCGGCAGAATCTCTGCACCCTTGGTCAACAGTGTGGCTAAACCACGCTTCCATCCCATGCCTTTGTCTAATTTTTGTTTGATGTTGCCTGTAGGGGTTGTTCTGCATCCCCTGGCAAAGGGTAGCACAAGACTGGTGCCGCTAGCCCACCCAGCCTCCCTCTGAAACTGCTAATTACACTTAATGATAATTACAGCGAGTATAATTTTCCTCCCAAGTGTTTTGCACAGGTTCGTGCAGGATGAAAGCGTGACATTCAGTGGCTCTTGTTATTGAATGCGCGTGCCTTTGCGAAGGGTAAAGCTTGGGGTGTGACGTGCAGGATCGTTTTAACCCTGTATTTGCTGTAAGCCAGTCCTCTGCAGACACAGGAGGGTTGTGGCTCGGAGGCAAAGCGTCGCTCTCCCTGCAGCTGGTCCTACATTCTCAGCGTCTCCAGATGGGCTGGAAAGATTGTGTCTGAAACCCTGGCGTACCGCTGCTGATCAGTGCCCAGCAAACTGGGCTGGATAGATTGATGGTTCTGGCTTGCTATGAGGCATGTTCCTGTGCCGTTGCAGAAACATGAAATCTGCTTTTTCTGTAATGCGTTCCGCGAGTCATGCGCCAAAGGCACCCTTGACATGCACAGTTTCCGTGTGTACCGCCAAATAGAAGGAAGACGCTACTGGCTAAGGGTGAAAGGAGTGGTAGTTTTTGGACAGCTGGCCAAAATGTGCTCCCCCCCCCCCCACTCTGCCACTCTGCAGGCCAGAATGCTGTTGATAATCGCAAAACCTTTCTGTTCATCCTGCGGCTGCCGGAGGAGGTGGGCTGGCTCTGTGTTTGGGGTCCAGTGGAGTGAGAGAGCCATGCAGCGCATCGATGTGAATGCATTCCACCCAAGCCTGCATTAGCCTGTGGGCTTTGCTGACCCACAGCTCACGAGGATGATGGTTTTAGAGTTGCTGCAGTGATGCCTGCTTCTGGCCCTCCTGGCCATCAGCCCAGCTGTCTGGGGCTGATGGCAGTTGGCGTTCAGCTCTACTATTCTGTGATTCTTTGATCCCTCCCTCTTGCTGTGATCCAGGGGAAAAGCCCTCCTTTGAAACGCTTACTTGGGGTTGGCAGCCTGATAGATGAAGATGGGGAGACTGTTTGGGGCATTCCAAGCAAGGTGAGAGAGGTCAGGAAGAATGACCTGATAAAAGGGAGCGAAAGGGGGTGAGGAGCCCAAGTTGTCCCGGAAGGCAACAGTCCAGGATCAGGAGGAACTTTAAAAAATAGGGGCTAGAAGAGTTCTGCACAACGGGGGAACCTCTCAAGAAAAGGGTGGCATGTTGCTAGCGATTTGCCAGACGAGTGGCAGGGCCAGTCTGATGCAAGACAGGGTAGGAAAGAGGTCCAAAGAAGCAGGTATGGGAGCAGATGTCAAAGGTGGTCCTTGAAGATGCTTGTTCACTGGTTGCCGTCATCGGAAGCAGAGTGCTATTGAAAGGGTTCCCATGTTCAAGCTATTGTTAGTCGAATGAGCTTGCCTGCAGCTCTCCAGGTATGTTGGCCACCAGCCGTGCTGGCCGAGAGTGACAGGAATTGTAGTCCGACGTGTCTGGAGGGCATCGGGTTGGGGGAAGCTGCTCTGGTCCCTTGACTGAAGTTAGGGAACTGTTTGTTGCTTGGCCGCTGGATGTGAGCTCAGTCTACGAAGTCGCTTTCCCCAGATGGCCTCCCGCCCCTTGACACTGAAATGCTTAGAGAGTTGACATTATTTTTTTTCCAAAACACCTCGGCAAGTTTAATGAAGAGACGAGAGGAAGAGCAGCCGAGAGGACCAAGAGAGAAAATGCTTCGCGTCCCATGACATTTCGGAAATAGCTGAGGCACCCTCACTTCTTCAGAGGGCGGTGGTCCTCAGAGAGTCGCCAGGTTTTCTTTCCTCTTGGTCTGTGTTTCTACACCCGATTTGCAACCCGTGGCAAGTGCTACGCCTTTCTTCTGATCAGGCTATGATGGGTACCAGAATATACAAGGGAAGGTGTTGCGTCAAACCTGGCAGCGCTGGTCTCCATTTTCCTGGAAGTTGTTTTCCCCAGGAAAGTCATTTATTTCTCTTCAATATCCCACATGAATGATCGTTCACAAGGCACTTCCATGCTGGAATGTGGGCACACAGGAAAGTGCTGTGTATGTTGTTGGCCATCTAGTCCAGTATTCCCAACACTGGCTGGCAGCAGCAAATCTCCGGAGTTTCAGGCAGGACAAAAGGAGTCTTTCCAGACCTATCTGGAGATGCTAGGATTAAACCCTGGATCTTCTGTCTGCAAAACGGGCCATTCTGCAGAGCTGCAGCCATTCCCTACCGAAGGGTGTGGGGAAGCCTCGATGGCAGCCATGAGGCGGGATGTCCGGGTTCAGTCAGGAAGGACCCCTTTCGCCTTGAACCTCAGCAGTTTATTGAAAGATCACCCAGGACCCCCGCAGTGACTTACGACGGCATGCTCCCGGGTAGTGGTTCTCACTGCCAACTACAAGCTTTTGGAACATACACAGAGTGTTTTATCGATTCTGAGTCACATATTATTGTAAGCCTTCCAGAGACGGCAGTAATGGACAGCCTATAAATTTCCTAAATAAATAAATAGTATTTAGAATATAAAAATCTATTAAAATAGTACAACTACGACCACTACATAGTGCCTTATCAAGATTTATCCGAAGCCAGGGTAGTGAATAAAGTCATCACTTTTTTTAAAAAAATAAAATCCATTGGTTCTATGAGTCAAAATTCCCGTATTTTTCGCTCTATAAGACGCACCTGACCATAAGACACACCTAGTTTTTAGAGGAGGAAAACAAGAAAAAAAATATTCTGAATCAAATGGGTACATAATCACAGGCACATTCCCCATCACTTCCCCATGGGCTGCACATCTGACAGACACACATTCGCTCTATAAGACGCACAGACATTTCCCCTTACTTTTGAGGGGGGGAAAGGTGCGTCTTATAGAGCAAAAAATACGGTACTTCAATACAATTCAGTTTATTATTACATAAATCCAGGGCTTTTTTTGTCATAGAACGCACTGGAACGATGTTCTGGCACCATATTTTGACGGATTTTTCCAATGGAGTGATTTTGAATCGCCTGCGGGCTGCTTGTGTGTCCGTGCTGATTGTGAGGGCGCTGCTGGGCTTGGGATCGGTTGTGTGGTCGCGCGCTGAGTGCTCACTGCCGGGGATGACCATTACGTTTATGTGTGTGTTGAGTGACTGCCTACGTGCAAACGGTAAATAAGTTCTTTATTTCAAACAAAGTTGGTGAATTGAAAATCTCTTTTAGTGTAAAAGTGTGACTCCAAGACATGAGTTCCGGCACCTTTTTTTTTTTACAAAAAAAGCACGGCATAAATCTGTTTTTGCCTGGTGCCGAAATGATTGCAGTGAGGGTACCGGGTGAACTGCTCTGAAGTGCCGATTCCAGAGAGAAGGCACAACACAAAGAAGGCCCTTCTTCTGTTTGCCATTCCCTTCCCCTCCTTCACGGATGGCTCTTCAGGAAGGACCTCTGAACCAGTGCGCAATGATCGGGTGTAATGCCGTACTGGGTGGACCAGTCTTCAGGCCCAGTACAAAGGGACAACCCTTAACTCAGAGGTGGAACACAGACCTCACATTCGGAACGCCCTAATTCTGATTCAGTAAGGTCAGAATCTGGAAGTCTGGACACCTCCAAGGGGAAGACTCTGGGGAATGCTTGGGAAAGACTCAAGGGTAGGGTGGACCTCCAGATAGAAATGGGCTGATGGCCAGGGCTGATGGGAATTGCAGTAGTTCAGCAGCTTCAGGAAGGCCACTGCCAGTGAAGGGCACTGGACTGGATGGACACCCAGTGTGATGCTGCTTCAAGAGGATTGTATTTATTTATTTATTATGAAGATTTATATGCCGTCCTTGCGCAAATGCCTCAGGACGGCTTACATAAATAAATAAGAATAATAATATAAAACAGCATTGTAGGTTCTTAATTGAGCAAAATTTGCCCATCTCAAAATGTGGGTCCTGCCGCTTCTGTACCGGATCTCTGCCATTTCCACGTTTAATGAAGCCCTATATTTTTGTTGATTTCAATGTACATTTGCTTATTTTAACGCATGTATGTAATATTTTAATTCTGATATACTGCATTTTAATATTTTGATTATGTTGTTAATGCGTTTAAGTATGTTAATTTTATGCCTGATTTTAGCATGTTGTGTTGTTCTAATTGTTGGGAGTCACACTGGGAGCCCAGATAGGGGCTAATGTAGCGGCAAACACATTTAAATAAATAAATACACTCTATTCTCTGAAGTCCTCTAGACTTCAGCTCCCAGCTGCCTCAGCCACACAGCCAACGGTCAAGGGTTACAGAAACTGTACGGCAAAAATGATAAGGTGCACCAAGTGCAGGGATCAACAGTGACCCCTCGCACAGCTGGGAAAGTGGCCCTGGAGTCTTTCATCTCTCACTCCTCCACCTTCTGAAGAATGATTGTTGTCCTTTCCCCCTTCCTCTTTTGTTCAAGATCCTGTCCAATGTCGCCATCTACCTGTGCACCATCTGTGTGGGCATCATGTCTTACTACATGGCTGATCGCAAGCACCGCAAGGCCTTCCTGGAAGCTCGGCAGTCCCTGGAGGTCAAGCTCAACCTTGAGGAGCAAAGCCAACAGCAGGTAAGAGCTGAAGGACCCTTCCGACCCGATTGTCTCTTTCTCCCTCTCTCTCAATCAGAGGAGTACCTCAGTCAGCTTGCCTTGAGCTGGCTGTCCAGGAGCCAAACCCCGCCTTGGTGGTTTTCTGATTAGGTGTGTGTGTCTAAATCATAGAATCATAGAATGATAGGGTTGGAAGGGTCCCCGAAGGCCATCAAGTCCAACCCCTGCTGTTGCAGGACACCATGTTACACCATCCCAGTCAGAGGGCTGCCCAGTTTCTTTTCGAATGCCTCCAGTGTGGGAGAGCCCCCCACCTCTCCAGGCAGCTGGTCCCACTGCTATATTTCTTTGACAGTGAGGAAGCCTTTCCTGATGTCCAGCCTGGATCTGGGTTGCCACAACTTGAACTGATTATTCTGTGTCCCACACTCTGGCACCAGCAAGAAGGGATCTTGCCCTTCCTCTTTATGACAGCCTTTGAGGTACTTCTAGAGGGATACCATGTCCCCCCTCAGCCTTCCCTTCTCGAGGCTGAACATGGCCAGTTCCCCAGTCTCTCTTCACAGGGCAGTATTTCCAACTCCTGAATCATTTTTGTCACCCTCCGCTGGACCCTTTCTAATTTTTCTGCCTCTTTCTTAAATCTTGGTGCCCAGAACTGGACACAGGATTCCAGGGTTAGTGAGAGTGTCTCTGCATGGCGGGGTTAGGTTTGTATGAAATTTCAGTCCTTAAGCCACATGGATTGTTCCATGCAGGGTGTACCATCCACACTCAGTAAAGGGGGGCTTTTCCCCTCCCGTATTTCGTTTGAACTTGGTGTGCTTCTCTTGTGTCACAGGAGCGCCTGACATACATCAAGACGAATTTCCAGAATGTGGCAGGGGAGAGCATTTCCTTTCACGTTTATCATGGGGTTCCCATACCATTCTTTAACTTCAGCTGTCAGTGCAGTTTACAAATAAAATGGCAAAACCAGCAATACCAAAAAAGAAAAAGAAAGATGGCTAGGAGCAGCATCTTGACAAATCAAGTGAAAGTCCAGTCTTAAGTATGTCTAGACAGGAAAAAGTCTTACCGCTGCCTCTCTTCCCCCAGCCAGCAAAGCTGTTTAAAAAGCCCTACGGGCATAGATCAGAAGATCAGTGCTGCTTGGGTGTTAATGCTAGAAGTGTGTCACCTGCCCCTGGACTTTTGTCTGGACCAAGCACAGGATGTGCCAGACTCCCAGCATTCTCCGGTCAGCCCCACTGCTGACTGGGAGTTGTAGTTCACATCTGGGGAGCACTGGGTTGAGGAAAGCTGGTCTGGAGTACGGCCTTGTAGGACTCTTTCTGTCTGTTGGTTTGTTGGTGTTTGCTCACCCGCACTTCATGCAGGTGTACAGAGATGTGCAAACCTTTTCAAGGAAGGAGGTTAAAAATACAGGAACTTTTTATAGATGCTGCCGCATCCAGTCTGTAGCTCCTGCCCCGTCAAGTCGCTTCGCAGCCACGAGCGTCACCAAAGTGTGATTGATGTCAGCCAGAGCTGTGAGTTCATGGGGAGATAAACTCGTACAGGCGTCAGAGGGGTTGAACGGGTCTTTGGAGAGAGATTTATATGCTGCCGGGAAAGATGGCGTGGCACCGATCCAAAGGCTTGTGTCATGTGGCTGATAAACTTACGGGGGTTTCTTCTGAGGGGTACAAACCAGAGGAAGAGAAGTTGAAATGAACAAGGAAGTTTATGAGATCGGACATATGGAAAGGCTGCTTTCTTTGATTTCAGCTCTTCCAGAAAAATTGTGCACGAGGATAGTCGGTGAGCAGTTCTGAGTAAAGCAGCAGTAATATTTGGGGGTCACTGCCAGGTTCTGTTTACCAACATTTCTACCTCACCCTCAGAAAATTCCAGAGTGGCTAAAAGAAGCAACTGTTTAAAACAATTATGATCTCTTTGAAACCATTGAATAGAACATCACAGAGCATGAAAGGGGTGTGACTTTGTTGTTCAGAACATGCAGGATTATGTTCCAGATGTGACTCTTGGTGTTTCTAGTCCTCATGCTATGCAAGCAAATGGTCAAAAGTGTTCAACAAAATACAACTTGATCTTAGGAAATGCAACATTTGACGGGTTTCTTTATCTATTCGTTTATTTATGTTATATCTTATTTTATGTTGTAAGCCGTCCTGAGGCTTTTTGCGAATTAGGACGACATATAAATATTTTAAATAAACAAACAAACAAATAAATATTTCAGTCCTCGCAGGTAGCCAGCAATTGCTGGGAAATTTACAATGGATGAAAAAGGCATCCACACAGATTCCCCCGTAGGTGCCCCCTCGTGCAAAGGAGTGCAATTCACATTATCCTCAGTTAACATGCCTAATGGTCAAGGATTATGGAAGCCAGAAATGTGGCTTCTAGATCAAGAGAGGTATTACTACCACTCTATACTACTCTGGTGTGATCGCAACTGGAGTATTGTGCTCAGTTCTGGGCCCCTCATTACAGGAAGGATATAGCCAGGTTGGAGTCAGTGCAGCGAAGGGCCATAAGGTTGGTGGCCGGTTTGCAGGGGATGCTGTATGAGGCGAGACTGAGGGAACGGGGTCTCTTCAGCCTGGAGAAGAGGAGACTCAGAGGGGATCTGTTGGCGACATACAGGTATGTGAGGGGGTGTCACACGGAGGTGGGTAGAGACCTGTTCTCCCCTACAGAGGAAGGCAGGACGAGCTCCAACGGAACAAAGCTCAGGGAGCCAAGGTTCAATTTAGATGCCAGGAAGCACTTCCTGACAGTCAGGACCCCGAGGGTGTGGAATGGGCTTGCACGAGAGGTCGTTGAGGCCCCATCGGTGCGGGTGTTCAAGGATAGGCTGGACGTCCACATGGTGGGCATGTCGTGAGCAGAGCCGGCTGGTGCCGGAGGTCAGGCTAGATGGCCCTGGAGGCCCCTTCTGACTTGCTCTGTTTAAAGTTTCATTACTAAAACTTAATACAATGTTATGGGCATTAATGGCTCATAATATGAATTGTTTTTAATTGGGATTAAATTTGGGAAGGGTTTGCTTTCTTGGGGAAGGGGGTATTAGAATGGCTACAGACTCCCTGAAAGTTGTACATTCCAACTGGATACCATATTTGGGGATCTTTTGAACTTTTACTAAACTTGGACACGGCCTGTTTCTTATCCATTCTGTGTTCCTTACCAAGCCTGCCTGCCTGCCTGCCTGCCTGCCTGCCTGCCTTCCTTTCAAACATTTTTATGCCACCCCCATCGCAACAAAGCCTCAGGGCGGCTCACAACAAGAACAAAATATACAAATATAACAAATTATACAATAAAAATATTAAAACCCAGTGCATCTTGGCTTAAAAGATTTAAAATCCTATAAATAACCAATAAATTAACAATTAAAATAAGTATTAAATAACAAGGTCTTAGCCTAGGTGCATGTAATGGGATGAGACAGGGAATATGAGCCAGGTGGATGGAAAGATTGTAACCTTCTAGTACCTTACCCAGTGAGGGAAAAGGGGAGGACTGTGGTGGATGGATTGAGGAGTGAAAGGAGCTGCCTTTTGCATTGTCCTTTGGAGAGATTCCGATAGAGCGGGCTCTCCCCATCTATTGCAATAAATGAAGGAATCACCTCATTCTGTTGGTAGTGTTGGTTATTTAACTTTATGGAGAAGAAAATTCCCAGAGGACGATATCCCTTCTTGTTTGCCCACCAAGGCCTCGTCTTCATCTGACCAACGGCCTGACACTGCGCAGCTACTCAGATCCAATTTTCACGTTGCTTCCGTTGTGTTAGCAACGGAAAAACTCTACCATGAGGTCAGACTCCACATGGCACTGATAACAGAGGGGAACCGACTGGCAGGTAGAAATGGTGCATGGAAAAATAGGTTTGCTACAAAAAGAAAAGCGCACAGCGAATAAAACTTGGATATTCTTCGAATCGGAATGACAAGCAGGGTTTAGGGAAGTGTGCGTCAGCTTCCCAAAATTCTCTGAATTCCATCTCATATCACATGATGCACATTATTTTTTCTTTTCGCAGGAAAATTTATGTGCCTTTTCATGTGTAGTTTTCCACATGTAGGCATCAGTGATGTGCATTTTTAAAATGCACACATTCTTCTCCCATGATTAAAGCACATTTCTGCACATTGTTTAAAAGCATGCAAGCTGTCAAGTGCCTTTTTAAGGGGGTGTTCTGCAAATTACACTGTAAGCTCAAAATTTACAGACTTCGCTTGATGATTTCTTCAAAGTCTCATGTTTGGTCCAGAAGGTGTGAAGTGAGTAAGCTCCTGATAAAAATTATCTGAAATGAATTCTCATACTTGTATTTGTATTTGTAAATCAATGTATTTTTTGTATTGTTATATTTAATGGTAATTTATTATGTACTATTGTATTTCAATGTATTTTATCATGTTGTAAGCCGCCCCGAGGTTTCGGCAAGGGGCGGCATAGAAATGCTATAATAATAATAATAATAATAATAATAATAATAATAATAATAATAATAATACTTCTAGGGATCTCTGCACCTTCCCCTGCCGTCTGTGTGTCAGTTAAGGACAAACTGGGGCGTTGGTGGTCTGAGTTGAAGGCAGGGGGCTGGCAGGGTATTGTATACCTGCTGACCGACTTAGACGCTGGGAGTCATTTTGGCTGGGAACAGTAGCCTGGCTGGAGTCAGGGGAGGCCAAGTGGGCCTTCAAGGTTGACGTGACCAGGTAGGGCAGAGGGGAAAAGGAGTCAGAAGGCTGAGAGGAGAGAGAAGGAAAGATGTGGCCAAGCTTAGGAGAAAGTCTTCCCTTGGCACCAAGAACCGTGCATCCGCCTTTGATTTTCCGAGGCTTAACTATGCAGGGGTGCGTGTTGATTTCTCAGGTGGGGTCACAGGCCATGGGGAAAGGGGAGTTGCCCTTTCTATCCCTGGCTGGGCACCTTGAATATTGTCCCCTCCAACTTGGCAGTCAAGATGATAAAATCCATTCCAGTGGGAAGCAGTTGAGCGTTTGTTCCTGATGGTTATTGACGTGTGGGGGAGCATAATTGGGGGGAGCCTGCAGCATGTGAAAATAAAATGCTTAGGGTTCGGGTTCGGGTTATGGTGATGGTATGCTGAATTGGGACCCTAACCCTTCCCTTAGTTAAGCTGCTGGGAAGGGGGGCGGGGCTGGGGGGAAGAGCTTCCCTTAGCTCCAGTG